ATTTCTGTGTCAAATCACAGGTGTACAGCTTGTTTTGCTTATTGCTCTGAATATCAAAATAACTCCCTCTGAGCTCTGTGCAGAGCTCCTGACACCTGTCGGACTGCTGCAATGCCGGTGACAGGACTGCATACAGCACAAAGCGCTGATTGAAGGCTTTTCTTGCTGGTACCAACTCAGAAGAAAATGATTTGAGAACTGAATAGAGAAAAGGTTTACAGAAATGGTTTCTAAGTTCTGTTCAATTGCTTGAAGTGATCTGATCAAACAGAACAGGAGGATCTTGGTGGGACCACGGCATTCAGGTGCACTGCAGACCTCAAAGACCAGGTGGCTGCTGAGAGTGGAGGTACAGCAAAAGGTTTTTCCTTCCCTTGATGCTGAGCAGCAGAGTCAGAAATTTCTTGCCAAAAGGAGCAGAGTGCATCTTGCCAGGAGGGGACTGTGCCTTCATCTGCTCTCACAGGATGTCAGTCTGCACTGCCTCCAGGCATGCATTACAGCTCAATGCTGGATGTTTGTCCATCTTGAGATCCCCAAATAGGCATAATAACATTTGGGAATCTCGGTGGATCTGTAATCTTGCTGTTACAGCAGAATCACTGGATTCAATAGGATCAATAGCTGGGCTTAATTAGCAGCAGCTTGATAAGGGTCTCCTTATGTCTTTCAGGTCGGCACCCGCCTGAGTGAAAGCAGAAACTTGTACCTAAAGCAGTAATTAAGAAGTGATTTGCCCTTGGCCCACGTTATGGGCATAATGCCAAGCTGATTTCCCAGAGCTGTTTTTTTCCAATTCAGGCTCAGTTAGGTGATACTCCTTGCTCTCAGAACTGCTTGGCCTTCAGCAGAGGGAAAAAGAATTAAAACAACAACAACAAAAACAACAGCAGTTGTTAATGTTGTGGGCAAGATGTCTTCTGGTCCAATGGATGGGGAGCAAATGCAGAGGCTGCTGAGCATTTTCTATCTGTCTGCGCAGCCAGGACAGCACAGAGCTAAGCTGTAGACTCTTGTAGGCAAGAGTCCATGGATATTGCTTTTATGTGAGAATTCTGCACTTCTTTCATGTCTGCACTCAATGAATCTGAGTCTCTGAGATTTCCGTGCGTGAATGAGCGTAAGATGAATTGGTGAGATAACATTTTCAGCTGCGTTGCCTGGCTCATCCAAATGAGGAGCAAAAAGAACATCTTATGGCTCGTATCATAAAATGTCAAAGGGACACACAGTGAGGCCTTCTGTTTGATCAGTGTCAATGCAGTGAGCAGCAAGGGCTGCCCAAACCTTCTGATGTCATGCTCAGACTGTTTCTTCTAAGAACCAAGCAGCAGTGATGCTGGTAGTAGCAGTTTGTCCCTTGGAGTAAAAGGGCGGGCTGCTCTTTTTAATCTGCATTTCTGGATTTCCTTTGTGAATTCCACAGCTCAAACAGTTCTGAACTTATGGAAAGCCGTGAAAGATTTATTTGATCCAAGGGTACAATGGGAAAAGATTACCTATACTTACCTGCTGCTCAGCTTTGCAAAGGCAGTCCAGTGGTTTTCTTGCAAGTTTTAATCTGCCTCATGCTTCTGGGTGCAGGTTTTTAGACTGATTTTGGGACAAGTATCTTCCTCTTTTCTCTCTCTCTCTCACACACAAGAGGATGGGGAGGCAACCAGCATGACAACACGGCCTGGAAGATGTGAGAAAAGCAAATCTTTGTTCCCCTTCCATCACATAACACTGCACAGCTCCTGCTCTGACAGAAAGCTGAAGAGCAAGTGTCAGTGTGGCCCCTTCCACGCCCTTCCTCTGGCCCATGGCTGATGATTCCAGCACTTTGTAAGCCGAGGAATTGACATTAGAGAGGGAAGGCACCAGCAGTTCCCACTGACTTTCTGTGAAATGACAGATGCCAGAAACAACAAATGCCACAGGAAAGCAAGCTTGCTATGCTCAGAGAACTGCCTGCTCCTAGCATCAGAGTGCCTGGCTCAGCACTGCAGAGTGCTGTTATCTGCTTATTTATGCCTGCATCATGGCTATTCTTTCCTAGCAGGAGGAAGCAGCCTGACAGCAGCACTGGTTTTCATTGCAACTCTCTCCTTGCATGAAGCTCAGTACCTTCCATTACCCACAGCTGGGCAACAGCAACAGAATTGCTAAGGATTTAAATTATTCATCTTTTGTGCCTGACTCAGCCTTAAAATTGCATTCATGTTTCCTAAGATAACAGCTTGTTGACCAGAGGAGCCAGGGAGCTGGCTGCTCATCGGAGCCTCAGCAGGTGACTGGAGCACAGGGACTGTTGTCCTCAGTAAGCAGAAAGGGGATGTGCTGGATAAAACAAACCCTGCTGCACACTTGTCCTTGCTCCAGGAGGTTGCAGTGATGGCTTGGAAGAGCAGCTTCCCTTCAGTGACTTCAGCCCTGGACCTGTCCTAGCATTGTTTCTCAAGATGCTGAATGCAGGAAAGGATGTACATCATTCTCTGAGCAAAAGCACCGTGCTGTGTCCTCAAAGAACTGAAGCCCACTGTTAAAGAGTGGTATTTACTCTTCCCCAAGGCAATGTGTGTGAGATACTCTGCTTCATGCACTCTCCATTCCCTTAAGTCAAAGGAAAATAACAGCTGAGAAGGGACTGGCAGCAGCCTGTGGTGCCCGGAGATCCCTTCTCTAATTACATGGAAGATAACAAGGCAGAGAAAGGAGCCCTGCATTCCTTCACAGCTACATCATAGTGCAGCTGAAGATCTTCTCCAGAGGCCCTCAGGAAAGGTCAGAGGCAGGACTCCATATCTCTCAAAAAAAAAACCAAACAAAACCCCAAACTTTCTGTGGCTGTAGGAGCAGTTTTCTTCAGGGATCCCCTCTTCCACCTAACTGCTGACAGATCACTTCCCTCTGCCCCACCTCTGTCTGCAGTTGGTGCTGGAGTTCAATCTCAGGCGTAAACCTGTCATGCCGTGGCACTGAAGCACTAGGACTGCTGTGTGCTGTCACAAGATGGTAGGAGAGATTGTTTTTCCCTTGTATGATAGATATTATAGCATCTGGGGAACAGTGCTGTGACAATATCAGAGCCCTGGCTGGCAAAAATCTCCTTGAAGTCCTTGGGGTTGCACACAGGGGCACAAGAGAGCTGACAGCAATTATTCACTCTTTGTCCTGGATGCTTTTTCTCGACGTTGGTTTGCACTTTCTAACAGACTGTTTCTATTGCATCCACTGGAATCTCTTCCTTTTTCAGAGCTCTGATTTAGCTCTGTGTTAGCTAACTGAACATGCAATGTGATGCTGACTTGTGCAGTCTCAGAGGCCTGTAAGGAGATGTTCACATAGGTGTACTGTGTGATACTGTGCAAAATCCCAGGGAGTGAGCAGTCCAGCCCATCTCAGTTCAAGCTCTGAAAACAGGTAAGTGTTAAAGCATTGCCTGAGACTTTTGAAGTGTTTTCATGGAAAAGAACCTGCAGAAAGTTTGCATTATGCTGAGCCAGTAGCTCTGGATGGACTCATAGCCCTGGCTGGTAGGGTTCTATCTTCAGAGGACTCGTATTTGCATTCATGATATGCAGTTACACAGGGGAAAAAAACAGCAGGATCTGAGATATGATGTTGCCTGGAGGTTCAGAGCAGCAATACATTTTAGAGCAAATGCAGTGTGCCAGGCAGCAGTTACATTGCTCATCCTTCTGATAATTAACATTTGAGCCCTGCCTCAATGGGAGGAGGAGTTCATTATAGGTCAAACACTTCAGGGATCCCACACTTCCTGTGAAGTACTGAATTGCACTGGACAAGGGGAATGTATTTCCTTGGACTGAGGTAAGGACTATTCCTGCTCTAATGTTTCAACCCGGACTTGGCTCAGTAAAAAAAAAAAATCTCAATTTCTACATAGTGCAAAGCGTTTTTCTATCCTAACAGATTCTCTTGATTTTCTTTTCCTGCTCCAACTGGTGTAAGCTCAGCCAGTGGTGGGCTGGTCTGTTTTATTGGAATTCCCTAGAGGAATGCAGCTGATTTTGTTCCCTCTGCAACTGAAAAGTAACACAAGCTGCGTTTATCAGTGTGATGCCCAGACCCTTCCAGGTGTGATCAGGTCACAGCCTTGCTAGTTTGTCCCAGTGGAGAAAGTTCTTGAACTTGTAATTGGTATCAAGGACCTGCTGATTGCTAGCTAAAAACAGGCACCAAGCTGCGTGGCTGCCTTGCACCACCCCAGGGCTTTTGCAAGGATCCCAAATAGGGTAGCAAAGCACTGGCAGAAGAATGCACGGAGTGCCAGGTGAGCGTGGCTCTGTGTTGTGTGAGCAGGAGGAGAGGGTGGGATGGGAGTGGACTCCAAGAGGGCTGTTCCTTGGACAACTGGTGTGACTCCATTGCGTGTCTTTCAGAGAGGGCATGCACCAACCACTGTGGACCCCTTGCCTTCTTGTTGCAAGCAAGGATCTCCTGAAGGGATGCTGGAGCAGGAGTCTGCTGTGCAGGTAGAAGGGGGGAAGGGGCGCGTTTGTTGCGTTGCAGCGAGCCTCAGGCCCTACGAAGGGCCTGGAGCTGCTGTCACCAGAATTCATCTCTCACTTCAGTTCCATCTCAGTGTCCCCCATTTTGGGACCTGTGCCCCAGCCAAGGTCTGCAGCAACCAATGAGCTGTTTGGGCTCTGCGCAGCACAAACCGAGAGAACCAGCGTGGTTCAGGCCACAGGATTATTTCATTTTGCCTTGTATTTCTGAAGCTCCATCTTCCCTTCTGCTGTTTGAAGAACAGGGCTCACGTAAGCGGGCTCCTCCCTGTTTACAGCTCAGGGGCATGTTTATGAAGCACGCCTCAGGTGCAACATAGGCTGAGTGCTTGCGTGCAGGGCAGCTGTAATCTTCCAGCTGCAGGCAGGGAGATTACCTCCCTGGGAGGGAAAGTGCCTCCTGCCACTCCAGCAGACACATGTGAGTGGAGATGATAGGGTTCACTCCTGCTGATAACGCTTCCAGTCTGGCTGCTCACACAATTTATTTGGCTGCAGCATTCAGCATCAGTGAGCTGATCAGACCTGCAGACCCTGGCTGCCCAGGGTGAGCTGACTCTCCTGCAGCAATGCCATGTTTGCATTACTTGAGGGTGAGTACTTGGGCAAGTCTCTGCCATGGTCAGGGGCTTGCTGGGCTGCACTAGGGGGAGAGGAATCAGGTCTGTTCGAAGAGGGGTGTTTTTATTTGCTTTGGTTTTGTGGTGTTTGTTTGTTTTGTTGTTATTATTATTTTATTTTGGGGGCTTTTGGTTTTTTTTTTTTACATTCAGGAGTTCAGGTGCATCCAGGCCACTTAAATAGTTTTATGTCTGCCCCAGACAAAATGGGCCCTTGTCCCCAAATGGGCCTTGGAATGGTAGAAGGGGTTTACTGCCCTTCTTAGGCTGCTGGAAGCTTGCCTAAGGTCATGCTGGGATTCAGCAATGGAGTCTGGCATTAAATCCAGAATTCCTAAGCCCCCCTGGTATTGTGCTCACCTTGTCTTTCTTGCTGCTGCTTTTGTTGAGAGATGGGGGTGCCCTCAAGTGAGGGCTGTTAGGGGTTTTTTTCTTTGTTTTCCTCTCAGTGGTACATGTTGATTTCTATGCTATCACCTTCCTTATTTCACCCACACGAAGCTCTGGGACAGGTGCACAGGATGACGTTTCTCTCTAGGCATAGTGCTCTATTAGCTCTGCTGAGGAGCAGGTGGCTGTGCTGCCACAGCTTTTGCTTGCATGTCCTCACTGGGGATAAGTTGGCAACAATCTATTTCCAGGCTGTGCTTCAGGTACTTTCCTGTCAATGCTTTCTTCCCTGCATGGCTTCTGGAGGCTACACTGAGCTCAGGCAGCCTGGCTGCACACTGCTAGTAGTGAATCTGCAACCATGCACATGTGCTGCGATCCTTCACAGCGTCTCCATCCTAGCAGGAAGCCTCATCCTCAGCACTTTTGCTCATGGAAGCAGGTGTGGGCTGGCCCTGCTGAAGCAGAGGTAGAAAAGATCAGCCAGAAGAGATTGCAGACATTAGGAACAGTTGATTCAAAACACTAGCAAAGAGAGAGAATTTTTTTCCATAAGGCACTGAGTCAGACCTTGGTGGCACCTTCTGGCTTCTGCTGCGTGCAATGGCACTGCACAGAGCCTGAGGCAGGCTGGAAGCTGGTTTGCAGGATGTGCCTCAGTCCCTCAAAGCATGTCCCTGTCTTCCCTTGTACTGATGTTGTCTGTTGCACGTATTGCCTGAGCCATGGCACGGCTGGGGAAGGCAGTGCAGTAGGAAAGCAGGAGATAAAAAGCAGTCACAGTGCTGCTGCATCTCTCACAGCTGTAAATCCTATTGTGTTGTAAGAAGAGGTGTAGCTCCTGAGTGACATGCACCGGTGTATTGTCTTCAGTCACAGTCTGTGTATTTTCTGACGAGGTAAAAATAGCTTTTCTTTTTCAGGCTGTGCAGAGAGCAGAGGCTCCTGCTAACATCAAAGGAGTGTGACAGCTTTCCCCTGGATGCGCCTTGCCCCAGCTGGCAGGAGCCTTCGCTGTGCTAATTCTTGCTTTGCTTTGGCTCTGTGCAGAGGAACAATGTCCTGGTCTTCAGCTCCCTATTCCTCTGTCCAGTCCCTGCTGCTGGACTTCAGCACTGTACTTCATTGACAAGAGGTAGTTTGCAAATTTCAGAAAAGGTCTTGACGTTACTGCTTAGAAACTCCATTATTACTATCTGGGAAATGACAGGCAGGCAGACTTTCATAGAACCAGGGGATCCTTATCAGAAAGGATCAGTTCACTATGCAGGGGCAGCTCCCTAATACTTGCTCATTGCAGATTAAGGAGAGATCCGTCTCCTCACACAGTCCTGTACCCCTTCTAGCTTCAGCATCTAGCAAAGGGGATGTGAGGTGGGAGGAAAGGGACCAGTTGTCTACATCTGAACATGCTCAGCAGAGACAGAGTTAATTTGGCCCTGAACTACACCACCAGTGACAGGCCAGAACAACCCTGTCCCATTCAGAGTGCATAAAAACAGGCTTTCCAAATGCTAATTAGTTGTGATACTGTAAGGATGGAGGACTGTGCCTAACGGCCCGATGACTGCAACTGCACCTGAAAACGTGCCCCCACTTTACTAACTTCAAAGCTCAAAAACTAATTGAAGAGTTGCCTCCCTTCTCAGAAACCTGACGGGGACCCTCCTCCTTTACTTTGGGATTTCTGCTCTGCCACTTGTGCCAAATTCTCTTCCAGCATTAACAGCCCCTTGATGCAGGAACTTGTGCAGGTCTTTCATTTCTGCATTATTTGATTCTCTTGCCGCCAGATCATAGTGCCATGTGCACCCCTGCGTTCTCATGACTGGGGATCACTGCTGCTATCAGCACTATCAGCCATGGCCTCTGGTGTTCTGTGCCTTGGGGAGGCCTGGGGTATTGTGAAATCTCCACTCAGCAACAATGAGCATGGACAAAGGTTTTGCTCAAGGTGATGCATGAAAGGACAGCAAAATCACTTAGCAAATGGTTTCCAGAGATGACCTCTTGATGCCTTCGTTCTCGTAAGTTCTACTAAGAACTGCAGACCTCTCCTAAATCACGTGCGCAGGAGTGAAGATGGTGGGAGGGTAGAATTTGGGTATATGGATTTATCCTTTCATCTGATGAGCTCTTCCCAGTGTTCTTGCTTTTCTCTTTCATCTGAGTTTGCAGTATGTGCCTGGCAGTCTCTTCTCTGTGCTGCTCTGGCTGCCTGCCTGAGGCTTCGCTCCTGTGGCCTCTCTGGAGATGCTGTGCACTATTAAATGCTTTCTTCCACCAGGAAGGCTGAAACTTGCTGGTAGGTTTTGTTTCCACTGCAGGGACCACCCGTGTCAAGCTTCTGTGAACGTAGATAGAGGAGAAAGTTCCTGCTGATCAGATGGTGTGGTTTCTGTTTCTGGGCATTCCAAGTTGAATCCAATTCAACTTCCCTTATCTTTTTAGAGAGACCCCAGGGGCCATCTCTAAATGCACTTAATCTGCCTTTAGTTTATTTCCAGAACTGACATATTCTTCTCATCTGAGGAGAAAGGATCACCATTAGCACCTGCTGACCTGGGCATTTGATGTCTGCAGGGTAGGGAGAACATGGAGAGCTCTGGCCTGAAAAAAGTCCTTAGGCTGAGAACTGCTTAAAGTAAGGCACTACATTGTTCTCTCTGTTGGAAACAATACCTCAAAGTTGAGGACCATGCCTGCTGTTGGACATATGCCCACAAGAGCAAAGAAATGTCAAAGCAAACTAAAGGCCATTGCAAGGGTTGTTGTACTTCCTTCCCAGCTGGCAGTGCTGACAGTGCCCTGGTACTAACAGCTGACAGTGACTGGGTCATCTGCTGGGATGTGGTCTGGACCTTTTATGCACTGTCTGGGTAGGATGCCCTCTGTAACACATGGCCACAGTGCAGGAGTCAGGCTTGCATCTCCCTGTTGCTGCTGGGGCTCTGTGCATTGCTGGAGCATTGTGTGCTACCTTACACAATTTGTCTGTCCTTGCTGGACCTCCATGAGCACTTGGCAGCCTGACACCAGGCGGGGGGGAGTGCATCTGCTTAGCAGGGTCAGAAGACCCCTTGGGGGATCCCCAGGTAGGGCCTTGCCCTTAGCAGCAGCATCTGCCTCTTCTGTTACTATTTCTCTGCTGTTCACGAACTGCTTGCTCATCCTGGTTTTCAAGATGCCTCCACTGGCTTCACTCCTAATGCATACCAGGGAAAAAGTGGCACATATTGCTCCAGAGGTGGGGTTTCAGGAGCATTAGAGCAGTGGAGCTGCAAATGCCACTAAGTGTGCAGGGCAGGAGTTGCTGGCAGGAGAACGTGGCTTCCAAAGAATACAGCAGTGGCAAAAGTTTGAAGATGCAGTTATCTTTAGTGATAAACTCATGAGATAGAAACCTGTGCAGTGGTGTAGTTGCTTTGAAGACCTCTGCTACAGAGCACACACAGAAAGCTTTTCTTGTAGCAAAGCCTGCTGTCTGAGCCTCCTCAGTGGCAATGATTTTCAGTAGCTTGGCCTGGAAGAAAGCAAATTGATAAAGGCCCAGGCATGGTGCACACATGGAGCAGTGTAGCAGCATGCATATGTGCCTTTTGCCAGTCTGAAACAGCAGGACAATTTTCTTCCTTCCTCATGGCCCAGAAACCACCATGAGAGCAGCGTGAGCCTCTGAACTCATTTGCTCTTGGGAATCATCAACATGCCACATTTAACAGCCTCTACACAGGGTGTTCCTGATGAACATGGCCCCCGTCCATAGAAAGAGGCAATGCTGAGACCCTTCTTTATCAATAATTTGCAGAAGGAGCTCCTCCCTAGGTGGGAGTAAGAGTGATGGCACTGCCAGAAAAGATTAGAGAAGACTTTGACTGTGTGCAGGAGACAAATAGAGCAAGATTAGCAAAATCCAGCCTGAACCTCTGGCTTGGCAAAACATCCCTTTGCATATTGCCTTAGCTCACAGCTACAGTGCAAGGAGCTTGGTCAGACCCAGGCTTCTGTTGGAGTGAAGGAGCAATCATCAGGCTGTGGTGACACTCTGTGAATAAGGACTAAGAAAGTCTCCCATCAAGGCTGGAAAAGAGAAATAATTTGACTGTTGCCTGAAAGAAGAGAAACTGAAGGAGAAGCACAGCTGCACTGAGCTGTGCTTTTCACTTTAGAAGGTCTTGGAGCATTTTGCAAATTCCAGATCTAGGAAGTGCTGGAAGCTGCATCCTGCCACTTCACAGCTTGAAGATCCCCAAGTGTATGGAACACGACGCCTATACGTGGGGCTTAGTTGTGTGAAAGGTACTCAAATAAGCAAGTTTACCTCCTCAGCTTGGAGTAACTCTTTCCTGAAAAATGGCTGGGAAAGAGAAGGAAAATGGAGAGAAACACTGCAAGCTGCCAAAAAAAAAATTAAAAAAAGGAAAGTAAAACCACTGGGGGCATTCTTTTTCATCTGGAAGCAACTGCTGTATATCCTAGGGCAGGCAGATAGCAAGCAACTGTGGGTGCAGGCAGCAGTATGAGCACAAATGCCAAGCGAGTGCACGCAGTGTGTCTGTGCTGCACTTTGTGCTTAGCTGTGGATGGCGAGTGTGCAATGTGTGTGCCTGCCTTAAGGAGCATTTGTGTTGTGCTGCCTGGGATGTGCATGCATCTTTTTGATATGCATACGTACTTACGCCCATGGAGTCTCTGCATTTCTTGCTGTTCCCTTTTGTTGAAAAAGGAGATGGCATTGACCCAATCTATGCTTTAGTTCCTTGGCTAATCTCATGCTGTCAGGCTGCCTGTGACACCCCAGAGTAATCAGCTGTTGTGAAAGAGTACAACCGAATGCCAGGTAGGCAGTCCCAGTGTACGCAGGGACTTTAAGAGGAGAATATGGCTGCAGATATCTGTCGTCTGCTTTTGCTGTCTGAGCTGTGTCTCCATCCCATGGCTGCCAGTGCCCGGCACCCATCAGTTCTCTGGTTCTGGGAAGCAGAAGGGCAGTCGTTCTGCAGCATCCACACCTCAGCCATGTGCAAGGGCCCTCCACCCCTCTCCTCCAGGGTAGTGTTACCTGCAAGATGCTCCTCAGCATGTCTGTGGGGCTGCTCCTCTCTGCTCTTCTCGAGGTAGTCCCTGCAGCTCTGACTGTTCTCTGTGCTTGGCAGCAAGCATCTGCTTTCCACAGGCATCTTGCTATTAAATATCCTGTCTGACACAGTAATGGAAAGAAAACGAACAAATTCCATTAGTGGCTGGCGATCCCTGCAGGTTCTGCGTTGGGGCGAGGAGGGAGTTGGTATTTTTAGAGAGAATGCAATGCAACTTACTGGCTCTCTTAAAGCTGGGGAGTAGATAACCAAGGAGGGGAAGAGGGGACACCGGGCTCAGGTTTCAGCTGAAGTGCTGGACTATGGCAGCACGAAAGGGCAAGTCTGGTCCAGACGTGGCTGTGAGTATACAATGCGCTTCTCCTTCATGCCCAAAGAGACCTCTGCTTTGCTTCTCTGCTTGCTTCTTGCCTGTGGTCTCTGCTGCTGGGTGTACCAGGGTTTTGGAAGTGCTTCGCTGCTGGAGCGTGTCAAGTTTTACCATATTAATCTTTGCAGCTCCATGCGTGTCCTGTGGGTGGGATCCCAGGTCTGGCTGAGCTGTGCTTTGAACTTCCAAGGGGGTTGCTGTTGTAGGTCTGTGCTGAAGCTGCCATGCCTGCAGCGTAGCTGAGGGCTCGACCTGAGATGCAGAAGTTTCCAGCAAGAGCTGGAGTTAGAAAAGCCCTTTGCACTTAACCATTTCTTGGAGCTATCGGCGTTTCCTGCTCACCCTAGACAGCATGCAGGGCTCTGAGTGCAAATGTGCACTTCTAAGGGCAGCACCAGCACCGTGCTCTGCCTTTCCCAGCAGATCAGCCTGAATGAGCAGAGTGCACCCAGGCATCGTGTTGACTCTCCAACGCACCTGCAGCCCTCCGTGAAGCTGGCAGCCTAGCTTCAAATGTGGGGGCTCCTCCCAGGCAGACCGGGTTGTGCTGCGAAGCAGCAGCTTGTGGTGCCAGCTGGCAGAGCAGGGCATGCCAGCTGCACGTGTTTCCCTGCGTGCAGAGACTGCGCCGGCACGGGGCATGGCGATGCTGCCCTCCACTGCCCGTCCCTCTGTCCTGGGCAGGGCTGCAGCATTTGCACTGCTGGGGGCTGGGACACCCATCTGCAGGCCTTCTTTCTGCAGGGGTAGCAAGAGAGTGGGCCCTGTGCTGGGCTGTGTTTCTCTGGGTAGGAGGATGAGGGAAGGATGGAGGAAAGCAGGAGGCAGCTGAGCAGTGCTGCTTCCATCTCTGAGCTGGAATGACCGAGGCTGGTAAGACAGGAGCTCTGAACACTTCACCTGCACCATTCTGCCTGGGTCTGCTGCCAAGGCTCTGTTGCTTTCAGTGCTGGCCCCACGAGCTTGATGACCCCAGGGCTGTGGGAACTGGAGGGCTGAGGCTGGCAGGATGTGTGCTCACATAGCACAGGAGGTCTCTTGGACAATCCCAGCGTGAGTGGTAAGAAAGGGGCTCTGATTTTCTAGTGGAGCCAAGGACAGAGGAGTGTGTCCTGCTGCTTTGCCATGGATGTCTCATGGCTCTGTGCTGTGGACAGCCCTTTGGGCTAGACCTACCAGGCAGGTGCCAGTTCATAGGTAGAGCCACACAGAGCTCTCACTGCATTTCCACCTTGTTCTCCAGCTTCTGGTGAGCCATCCCATTGTCTTCATTTGCTGCCTTAATAGTGTTATACAAATTATTGCTGTGCCTTGCCTGGGGTGGTGACACTGCCTTGCTGTGACTTTCCTGGCTGCAATGTGCACAGTTGGGGTTGTCGCCACTGCCAGTGTGACTCCTGTACTGGTTTCTGGAGGACAGCAGAGGCAGGCACAACCAACTCTGCAGTATATTGTCCATTGCTGATCTCTCAGCCAGGACAGAAAGCATTTCCTGTGCCTAGAAAGGCTGCAGCAATCCTGTCAGAGCACCTTCCCAGTCCTACCAGCACTGCTCAGATCCATACATCTCTCCTCCCTGGCCTGGCCAAAGGCTTTTCTTCCCTTAAGCCTCACTCCCAGCCCTGCCTTGTCCTGTTTGATGAGGACCATCTCTGCCTGCCTGGCCTCTTTCCCACCGGGTCTCTGTAGCCAAGCACTGGGATGATCCCATATTGCTGACGGTAGAGCACGAAGTATGATGCCAAACCTCATGCTGTTTGTTTTTTTCCCCAAGGCTGATGCTGCGACCAGTTTTCTGAGAGCTGCAAGATCTGGGAATCTGGACAAAGCCTTGGATCATCTCAGGAATGGGGTAGATATTAACACCTGTAATCAGGTAGGTGAAACCCACGAGGTTTCTGGTATCACCGCTAGCTTATGTGAAAATTGCCATGCTGTGGCTCCCCAAGGTTGAGGTGACAGTCACTCTGTCCCTTCCTTATTCTGCTCCGTGGGAGAGGAACAGAGAAAGGCTCCAGGGAGTTTGTTTAGCCTTGATCCTGGTACAGAGCAGACCGTAAGTGGGCAGAGCAAGTTTAAAAATGGTGGGAAGTGTTTAAAAACAGGGGATGTTTGCAGAACGCCAGTGTGGTGCCTCAGGAGGTGCTGTTCAGGTGGAGCCCCTTCTAACACAGAGCAGGGACAGCTCTGCCCCTGGAAAGGAAAGCTGCAGGCACAGAGGAATGGTTTGCACATAACTGACAGAACATTTTGTTACCTGTGCAGCTGCCAAATGCATCGACTCAGCCTGAATCAGGGTAGGTGCTGCAGGGAGGGACACAAGGGACTTGGGCTGAGCTGGGGGACAGACAGGCAGACGGCACTGTCAGCTGCTTTCCAGAGCATCAGTGATGCTGGGGAGGCTGACTTGGCAGGTAGCACAAGCGGATGTTCCTCTGGTTCAGTATCAAGTTTCCAAACCAAGCGTGGTTCAGACCCATCAATCTATGCACTGCAGTGGCCGGTGCATTGCTGCAGACATTTTCCCCCAGGAAATGTTGCTGTCTCCTTTTCTTTTCTGACTGACAGTGCTGTGCAGATATGCTGGATTTCTGCTGGCAGCTGGGGCATGTTGCACCTTGTTTTCTCCTCCCTAGGATGCTAGAGGAGGCTTGGGGAAAGCTCATGAGGTGCCCATTTTATTCCTCATTCCCAATTATTGTCAGCGCATAACCGGCATCCAGGTGTTCCTGTCCTGGGGTTGTGTGGGCAAGGACAGGATTGAAACCAGAGGGGTGTTGTGGGGAGAAGAAATAGAAAATGTTGTGTTTCAGTCCATTGAAGATGAAATAGTTTTCAATTTCTTCCCCACAAGGGGCAATCCCCATTTGCTGGGAGCAGTCCTGCTTCCAGCCAGATTCCTGCAGCCAATGAGGGGGTTTAACATCCTGCTGGGGAGCACGTGGCTGCAGCAGAATGAGGTGCTCCTTTCAGTGGTGCCTTTGCACTGGTTCCTGCCATCTCCCTGAGGTTAGATGGCACTTTAGGGTTTCCTTCTGAGGAATATCAGACCTGTGGGAAAGGTCCAACCTCACATGTCCTGTATAGAATAAGGAGGGATATATGTGGTCAGACCTATCCCACAGGCCCTGTATTCTTACACAAGTGCAGAGACCTTGACATGCCATCTGATCTTCATCCTGCCATCTTCTTCATGGTTGCCATCTGCATCAGTATCCTTCTTGTGTTCTGAATCCATGCATGCTGTCCTCACCAATGAGGAGTTGGAGCTGAGGAGAAGCAGAGCTGAGCTGGCTGCCAGAACCCAGCAGTCATGGTTGCGTGGGCAGGAATCTTTTCTGGGTCACAACCCAGGGCAGGGTCCACTCAGGGTACAGCAACACGAAGGAGCATTTTTCTGCAGAGCTGAGTTTGTTGCATTGGCAGCAGCACCCAAGGCTTCTGGGAAGCATTTGCAGTTGGTGAGGGAGTGCAGCACTGCTCAGATGAAGTGCATCCTATGGCGGTTTTGGGTCAGAAGAGCCGTCAAACACCAGAGCAAACCTGCAAAACAACCTGCATTGTTCCTGAGGCAGAAATATCGATGGGCCTCTGGGAAACAGCCTTCAGTAAACATTGTGCTTATCGCTGTAAGGATGGAGAATAACGATTCCTCAATGGCTTTCAGCTTTCAAAAGGTTATTTATGAATCCTTTGCGTAAGAGGACATATGTGCGAGGGGAGCAGCTGAGTATTCATGATTTTGTCCTCCCTGCATCTTGTTGCATGGGTATAACAGAGAAAAAGCATGTGCTGTATCTGTGGCTCTCACCCAGCTGGTGAGCTCTCAAGATGTGGGTGCAGAGCCGTGCAGCTGTGCCCTGGTCCAAGAGCTGCAGCATTCTTGCTTCTTTTTCCCTTGGCAGCCATCCCCTTGTGCTTGGAGCTCCAGGAGATGCTGGAGCTGGTATGCTGAGATAGCCTGTAGGCTTGCTATCTGTGCATACATGAGAGGTAGAAAAGAGTCTGTGATCTTGGAAGGCTGCTGAATTGAGCAAGAGAGAAGTGGAAGACCTTTTTGTGCTATGATAAACCCCCTCTGGAAGCTGTTGTGAGTTTAACTGGGATGTTGAAGGCTACAACTGGAGCTTGCCCTGGCATGTTCTGCTCCCCTACCTGTATTCAGATGGGGATGAAGCAATCCTGCAAAGTGACCTTCCAGCACCCTCCATAAGCCAAAGCAGATGGCTGGGGGGTGGAGTGCTTGGGCAGCATTGTGTGCTTCTGGGGAGCTGGCAGCTCTTTGCCACATGAGAGCTGCACAGGGGTGAGTAAGCACAGTGCATCCATCTGGGAGAAGTGCGGCACTTTTCCCTTGTGGAGGGAAAAAAAAAAAGTGCCATTTGAAATGGCCTGCAAATATTTAACCTCTCTGCCAGTAAATATCTCAGCCCTTTTGTTCACATCTGGGAAGTTGGAAATAATGGAACATAAGCTTTCTCAACTGCCTCTGGGGTGCTGGCAGGCCTAACCCCCCACTTTTGACAGCACAAGGATATTCCAAGGGTGTTCTTCAGGGGCTGTGCTCCCTTTGCTCCTGGGACTGTGGTTTCATATGTAGCTTGGAAAAGGAGGGCTGAACTGGGGCACCCGTAGCAGTGTTCCCAAGCGGTCACCTGAACTGTTCAAGAGCTTCCTGGATCTGACAGAGCTGAGCAGCTGCACAACCAGTGCTTCCCCAGAGTCTCTGCTGCAGCTCAGTACTGGAGGAGCAAAGCAGCCCCGGTGCTGAGCATGGGCTGTGGGATGGAATTGGCAGGGTCAGCCTGCAAGGCCACACTTACACAGCGTGTGCATCCTCACTTTGGGCCATCCAGGGGGCTTTGGCTGTGACAGGTGTGGCTGTGGGCAGGAGATCTGAGGGAGCCCTGGGAAGTCACTGGAGCGGAGATGGGAGCTGACAACAGGAGTGCGTCATGAGCAAGGAGAGCTCAAACGGTGCCTGTGAAGCCATGCACACCCACTGTGCCATGGTGACACCCATCTATAGGAACTAGTCCACGAGGGCTGCATGTCACAGGGAAACCTCCAGCATTAGTCAGCAGCTCAGTGCACGGGGCTGCATGCAGCGTGAAGCCAAGTGTTCAGGGCTCAAAGGCAGAGCAGTGACTTCTGCTCCTGGCAGCCAGCACCTCCTTGAGTACACAGCAAGCACCCGCAGCCAGGTCCATAGAGAAGCTCCAGGGTGGTTCCCAGAGATCATCAGTCTCATCCTGTGATTAATGCCCCCTCTTTGTGCCCTGCAGAATGGGCTGAACGCCTTGCACCTGGCGTCCAAGGAAGGCCACGCGAAAATGGTGGTGGAGCTTCTGCACAAGGAGATTGTTTTGGAGACCACGACCAAGGTGAGAACAAAGGAGTCTGGTCACATTCCTCAGTCGTTGCTCTACAGCCTGCCATTGCTGGCGCTCCATAAATAATGCATAGTTCTCTCCCTGCATCATCATGCAGAGGTGTGGCTCTCTCTCTCTGTGACAAAGGCATGAGCCAGCAGGACTGGACAACCAGCAGCCTCTGGTAGTGTGTGGATGGCTGTGGAAGCTGCAGTGGCTGGCATGTCACCTCTGTGCCCTAGCAAGGCTTGGGATGCAGAGCAGAGCCTGATGTCCTGCCCTCACCACCCCAGGGCACACACAGGAGGGAGAATGTGTCTTTCAGTCTGCTTCTCCCTGAGCTCCACTGGGAAGCCTTGGCTCCCGTGCTCTGTGCTTTTGCCTGAGGTCTGTCAGCTCAGCGCTCCCTTCTCCCTTCTCCTGCTCACCTCCTGGTGCTGGAGATATGCAGAGCCTGACAATACGCAGAACTTTGGCTGCCAGTGACCTCGTAAGAAATATGAAGTCACCCTCTTCCTTAGCCAGCAAATGTGTCTGTAGCAGGAATGGGGTGCAGAGCACGGCCCTACCGCCTTGCACTGGCCAGGATGGCAGCAGCCCTTTTCACACCTGTGTTAGTATGCACATCTGGCCTGTCTTTTTCCCTGAGTGCTGCCCTGTGATGATGTCTTTCAGAAGGGAAACACAGCCCTGCACATCGCTGCCCTCGCTGGACAGCAGGACGTCGTCCGGGAACTGGTGAACTATGGGGCCAATGTCAATGCTCAGTCTCAGGTACAGTGATCCAGGCTGGGGTAGGCAAAGCTCCAACATGTGTGTGGTGATGTCCATGTGGTGAGAGCTGCATCCAGCAAGGGCTCTGCAGTAGCCTTTTAGTGTCTCTTTGGTCCTGTTCAGGGACAAGGGTGGCTTTGCCCGATCTCTGAAGGACCACAAGTCTGTGAGTGATGGGGAAATAAGTTTGGGGGTGGAGATGGTGACTGTCTGGTCTGTGGAGATGGTGAGGAGATGGTCTGTGTCTGGTGGGAGTCCATGGCAGCACACACACAAGCACGCAGAACTCTTCCTGGCAGAACTCATGAAAGGTGCTCCCTGACAATGAACCGGGGGTGTGGGTGTTCATAGAATGGCTTAGGTTGCAGGGGACCTTGAAGATCATCTAATTCCAACCCCCCTGCCATGGACAGGGTTGCAGAGCACTAGATCAGGCTACTCAGCATCCCATCCAACCTGACCTTGAATGCATCCAGAAGTGAGGTATCCACAGCCTCTCTAGGAAACCTGTTCCATTGCCTCACCATTCTCTGAGCAAAAAAAATTCTTCCTAGCATCTATCCTAAATTTCCCCTCTTTTAGTTTAAAGACATTTCTCCTGTCCTACCACTGTCAGACTGTGTAAAAAGTCAGTCCCCCTCTTACTTGTAAGCTTGGTGGGGTGCAGCTCTTCAAGGAGCTGGAGGAAGGGTTGTGTTGATGTGTATGGCTCTGTTTGCAGAAGGGATTCACACCACTCTACATGGCAGCACAGGAAAACCACCTGGAAGTTGTCAAGTTCCTGCTGGAAAATGGAGCCAACCAGAACGTAGCCACAGAGGTACGATCCTTGGGGAGAACTCCGCAGCTCTACTTGTTGAGGCTGCGCCAGGGGCTGCCGTGGCTTCTTGGCTCTCCCCACTCACCTGCCTCTCCTTGGCAGGATGGCTTCACACCGCTAGCTGTGGCTCTGCAGCAGGGTCATGAGAATGTGGTTGCTCACCTTATCAACTATGGGACAAAGGGTAAGGTCCGCCTGCCCGCCCTGCACATCGCAGCTCGCAACGATGACACCCGCACAGCCGCCGTGCTGCTGCAGAATGACCCCAATGCTGACGTCCTCTCCAAGGTGCGTGGCTCTCCCACCCTGTCCCTGCCAGCTTTCCTACCTCCCAGGGGGAACAGCAGCTTGGTATGCTGTATATATCCATCCTTTCGGCAGGGAGCATGTATCTGGCTGGGCTGATCCCCCTTCTTTCCCCTAGACTGGATTTACGCCCTTGCACATTGCAGCCCACTATGAGAATCTCAGTGTGGCCCAACTCTTGCTGAATCGTGGAGCCAGTGTCAACTTCACACCCCAGGTGAGTGCCATGTGGGGTGGCTGCTATGGCATCCACAGCTTTCAGTCACGGGTGGGCATGTGCTTGCCTCTCACCTGTCCATCCTTGCAAAGGAATTTAGCCTTCCACTGCCCTCTGTCCCTTGTTTGCCCCGTGCTTCCTGGCAGCCCTGCAAGGAAAAGAGGAGGGGTTGCTTCCTGTAACAAGCTGTCCTTCCTTCTGCCAGAATGGGATCACTCCTTTGCACATAGCCTCCCGACGAGGCAACATCATCATGGTGCGGCTGCTGCTGGACCGTGGGGCCCAGATAGAGACAAGGACCAAGGTGAGACCCTTTCTAAACCACTGGCAACTGCATGGGCCATCTCTGTCTCCATTCTTCCTGTGTCCAGGGAGCACTGATGCAATGCTCTCCTCAGTCCATACCTTGGGAATGTCATGCTAGGGCATGAGCACAGTCCCTGATGTCCTAAGGGGGTGGACCGGGTTTTTTAGTGGTGTGTGTTCAGGTTGAGAGAAAGCTGCATGGGTGGTGGGCTGAGCCTGGGGGCTGAGAGCAGAATCAGTTTTGATCTTATTCTGCAAACAAGTCCCAAGTTTCTTTTCCTTTCTGGTCTGGGGTGCCTTGCCTTTCCCTGTCCTTGCTGAGCCTCTGAACCCTTCTCTCTCCCCAGGATGAGTTGACGCCTCTCCACTGTGCAGCTCGCAATGGACATGTGCGAATTGCAGAGATCCTACTGGACCATGGTGCTCCCATTCAAGCCAAAACAAAGGTGCCTGTGGGACTGCGCTCAGTGTCACAAATTGCATGCGTTTGCTGGATGCTCTCTGTAGCTGGGCCAGGGTCGAACTTTTGGCCCTCAAGAGGCAAAGAGCTTCCTGATCCTTCTGCTCAAAGCTATGGCAGGGAGCAGGGCTGGGTGGGATGCCCAGTGCCCTCCACTCAGCCCTAAGGCTCCGCTCCCCGCTCACAGAACGGTCTGTCACCGATCCACATGGCAGCACAGGGTGATCACCTGGACTGTGTGCGCCTACTCCTGCAGTACAGTGCTGAGATAGACGACATCACCCTGGACCACCTGACACCACTGCATGTAGCCGCGCACTGTGGCCACCACCGTGTGGCTAAACTGCTGGTGGAGAAGGGAGCCAAGCCCAACTCCAGAGCCCTGGTGAGCCAGGAGGGGTGGGCAAGAAAAGGATAAATGGGCTGGGAGTGGAGAAAGAAAAAAGCAGCAGAAGAGGGAATGTGCTTGCAGTTGACTGATGGTCATTCTGTCTGTAGAATGGCTTCACGCCTCTCCACATCGCCTGCAAGAAGAACCACATTCGGGTGATGGAATTGCTTCTGAAGACAGGAGCCTCCATTGATGCTGTCACGGAGGTGGGTGAGCTGCAGCCCAGCCCCAGCTCTTCTGTTATTGCCCATGCACAGCAGGGCTGGGTCACTGCTGCCCTGCTGCCCCCCAGCATCTTCTTCCTTGTGGCTGGGGAGAACTGCAGCTCAAGACCCACTGTGCGGGTGGCATCCGCTGCCTGTTTCCTGCAGGGCAGAAGTTCTGTGCATTGCTGTCGGCTCAGCTAGGGGCTCCCAGAGGCTGAGAGAATGGGGGGATTACCTCTGTGTCAGGCCATTCAACATGACTCTTTGCTGCTTTCTCTCCACAGTCTGGCTTGACCCCCTTGCATGTGGCTGCCTTCATGGGGCATTTGCCCATCGTCAAAACCCTGCTGCAGCGTGGAGCATCTCCTAATGTGTCCAATGTGGTGAGTGCTGGCCTGGCTGGAGCCATTGGGGCTCACTGTGGTGGGGTGTAGTGGAGGAGCTGCACCCTGCTTTCTTTGTTCCTGGGCAATGGGTGACATGTCCCCTCCTGTGGCCTCACCGCTTTATTCTGTCCATGGTGCAGAAAGTGGAGACTCCCCTGCACATGGCAGCCAGAGCTGGGCACATGGATGTGGCCAAGTATCTGCTGCAGAACAAAGCCAAAGTCAACGCCAAGGCCAAGGTAGGCAGGAGCTCCCATGTGCTCATCCAGTGCTGAGTTCTTTGCTCTCACCTGTCCAGGCCCCTGTGGTGAGGGGTTGTGAAGCAGCAGGAGTGCTGCAAGGAAGCAGCGAGTCCAAGCCCGCGAGCAATAGCTTCTCTGCCTCCCTTACAGGATGACCAGACTCCTCTGCACTGTGCTACACGCATTGGCCACACCAGTATGGTCCGACTTCTGCTGGAGAACAGTGCCAACCCCAACCTGGCCACCACAGCAGGGCACACGCCTCTGCACATCACTGCCAGAGAGGGGCATGTAGACACAGCCTTGGCCCTGCTAGAAAAGGGAGCCTCTCAGACTTGTATGACCAAGGTAGGCTGCTGGCATGCTGTGGAAAGATGGCTGGCAGGGCTGGCAGGACAGTGTCCCCATCCCAGAAGGGACAGCCTCCTGTGCTGCAGTGTGCATCTGCATTCTCCTCATCATCCCCTTACACCCAGTGATGGGCTGCCTATCTCCTCAGAAAGGATTTACCCCTCTCCACGTTGCAGCCAAGTATGGGAAGGTGGATGTGGCAGAGCTGCTGCTGGTGCATGATGCTCACCCCAATGCAGCGGGGAAGGTGAGGGTTGTTCTAGGGCTGTGAGAGAGGTGAGTATGGGCTGAGACTCTATCTCACTGCTCCGTGCCCTCTTCCCTTCTCTAGAACGGCCTGACCCCATTGCACGTAGCTGTGTACCACAACAACCTGGAGATCGTCAAGCTCCTGCTTCCCAAGGGAAGCTCTCCACACAGCTCAGCCTGGGTAAGGCTGGATGGGATCCCTGGGGTGGGAGGATGGTGTGTGCCCAGTACCCTCCAGCCAAGGCTGACAGTGCCCCGTGCTGTGTCACCCCTCAATTCTTGACACCTGCCAGTCCCACCATAGCTCCCACACCTGCTGCTTGTGCCCATGGGGATGCTGAGCACTCACCCTGTTCCAGCAGAATAGCTTTAAGGGATATTCCCTGTTGGCAGCCTACTGGCTGTTGCTTGGGGATGTGTTTCCATGGCAAGCCCTGCTGAGCAGTGCTGCGGTCTGGCAGTTTGGGAAACCACACATGAATGTTTCCATGCAGCTGGGAAGCTGTGAAGGCAAAAAATCCAGCAGTTTGTGAGCATCCTGCGCTCTGGCAGAGCACGAGGAGCCTTTCCTCATGGATCAGCCCAGCAGAATTGGTTTTCACATTGTTTGCAAAAGCTGCAGCATCTCGGCAGACAAGTGGCTGCTGGTGCTACCTCCCCTCTTCCCCCGTGCATCTGCTGGCAGGGCTGCTGGGCTGGCAGCAGAGCAGCTGGTGCTGGTGCCGATCTCCCCTTGGTCTGCGTCACAGCAGCCTGCGTCATCACAGGCACAGGGCGTCTGCTTCTCTGCTGGCAAATGACAGCACAAGCAGTGCTCAAGGCCATGCAGCCTCTGCCTGAATACTAATCCTGTATGTTGTGGGTTCTGCCCCACACCTCTACCAGGCAGTCCTAGTAGTGCCTGCCTGTCCTGACTCTTGCAGCCCCAAGTGGCCGCATGCTAGAAACTCATGTAAAGAAAACCCCAGGACAGCTGACACTAATCAGACCTGAAGCAGGTGGTCTTGGAGCCTCCTCACTGTCTTGATTAGGGAAGCAGGATTGGCTCCAGTGGTAGGATTAGTTGCTGTCAGGGAGATGGTTTGAGTGTGAGCTTGTGTCCCTGAGACCTGGAAGCAGCCTGACAGGGCAGAGTTGGCCTGGAGAGATGGGGTGGAACTTCCTGTCCAGGCAGATCTGCTCAGTGGGTGCTGAGAGCTGCATTGGTCCCTTCCCACAGAACGGATACACCCCTCTGCACATTGCTGCCAAGCAGAATCAGATGGAGGTGGCCAGCAGCTTGCTGCAGTATGGTGCTTCTGCAAATGCAGAGTCTGTTCAGGGAGTCACCCCTCTGCACCTGGCTTCTCAGGAGGGGCATACAGACATGGTAGCACTGCTTTTCTCCAAGCAAGCCAATGGAAACTTAGGCAACAAGGTATGTTGTGCTAGTGCTTCCTGCCAGGCTGGCAGGCAGTAGCAGATCCAGTGCCTCCCTGCATTCAAATAGCAGTGCCTTGGCTATAACATAACGTTGGGCAGTTTGCTGTATTTACAACCCAACTTGCTCTCTCTGCTGGTCGAGCTGCAGTACTTCTCTTGTGCATGTGACATGCTCTTTTTGCAGAGTGGCCTGACTCCTCTCCATCTTGTGGCCCAAGAGGGGCATGTACCAGTTGCTGACGTTCTGGTGAAACACGGAGTCACAGTGGACGCAACAACAAGGGTAAAGTAGTGCATTGGCCATGGCTGGGGTGAAAAACACTTGGGAACTACCTCTACATACCCCATCCTTCAGCTGTTGGGGCTGGCCCATGTAGTTCAACAAAACCAACAAAACAGTACCCAAGCCAGAAGGCCCAGGAGCAGTGCTGACAGCGCTCTGAGACCTGATCTTGTCTTTCAGATGGGCTACACCCCGCTGCACGTAGCCAGCCACTATGGGAACATCAAATTGGTGAAGTTTCTGCTGCAGCACCAGGCTGATGTCAATGCTAAAACTAAGGTACAGTGATGCTCTGTGCTAAAAGGACCCTGGGGAACAGTGTGCAGGTTGATGGGAAAGGTTTTGTGCCACTACAACCCCTATACCTTGCTCCAAGTCCTCCTGTTTCCATGGCTGGAAGCTGTTGTAGCACCCCTGGGGCGCACTATGGATCCTATACAGCCCTTTACTAACCACAGAAAGCAGGATGCAGCCCATGTGAAGCCTCGTGTGAAGCTTTGGGGGGCATTTGCGGGGCAGCATTCCCCAAAGCTGATGCATCAGTCTCTATTCTCCCTACAGCTTGGCTACACGCCCCTGCACCAGGCAGCGCAGCAGGGCCACACGGACGTGGTGACCCTGCTGCTGAAGCACGGTGCCTCTCCCAACGAGATCAGCACGGTGAGTAGGGCAAACTGCCTGCATTTCCTCATTGTGTGACATGCTTGGGCACATGCCTGGGTTCCCTTACGTCCTCTCCCCTTGCACAGAATGGCACCACTCCGCTGGCCATCGCGAAGCGCCTCGGTTACATTTCCGTCACAGATGTGCTCAAGATTGTCACAGAAGAGACCAGCATCCCAGTAAGCTTCTGGGCACGGGACTGGCTGGGTGCAGAATCCTGTGGAGAAGGGTTGGGGTCTGTGAGCTAAGTGAGGGTCTGCCAGCCTTGGCCCCAGGCAGTTCAGGGTGTGGGCTGCCAAAGAGCAGCTTGAGTGCCCAGGCATGTGGAGAGGGGCTGTGGGTGGCTGTGGGTTGTGTGCTGTCTTGCTCTGACTGCCCTCTGCTCCACAGCCAGTCAGTGACAAGTACCGCATGAGCTTCCCAGAGACTGTGGATGAGATTTTGGATGTGTCAGAGGATGAAGGTGAGAGGCTGGAGCTGGGTCATGCCCTTAGAAGTCTGCTAGCAGCCCCGGGGATGGGCACAGGGTGGGGAGCTGCCTGGCCCCACTGGGGTCTCGCAACAAGGAAACAGAAGCCCAGCAGCCACCTCCTGGCTTGGTCTTCCCCTGTGCTGTGCAGGAGGGTGGTGCCCAGACCTGAGGATGGTGTGCAGAGAGAACTTGGGCACTCTGAGCACCGCACCATGCCTTGCTCCCTGGGTGGTACCAGCCCACAGCCCGCCTGAAGCTGGTTTGCTCCTACCCCCTCCCACCAAGACCTCACTTTTGCCTCTTCTTACTTTGCAGGCACTGCTCATGTCACAGTAATGGGTATGAAATTTGTCCCTGTGCCCCAGCTCAATGGCCCATTTCACCCCATGGCCACTAACCATCCGCACGCCTCCTCCATCTGCTGATCCTTGCTGCTGGGCTGGTGCTACCCAGCACAGGCCCTGCCATCCTGCCCTGCCCATCTGCGTCCATGCTGCTTGCTGTGGTGTGACTGCATGAAGGGGACTATCCCCGAGCAGAGGGAGCCCTGGCTGTCATCAGCCTTGCTCCCAGCAGCAGGAGCCTGCTCCTGTTGTAAGCCCTGGAGCCTGCCCACAGCCAGCCCGTGCCACTCTGGCCTTGGTGGTATGAAGTGGAGCACTGGAAGGTCCCTGTGCTGCTCACCACTCTGGCTCTCCCTGCATTGGGAGGTGCTGGGCTCCTTCCAGCAGGGCTCTAGCATGAGCTCAGCCCCGGTGGATTCCTTAGCAGGTGTTAATTGGGTGGCAGGTGAGGATGGTTCGGCTCATGCCTCCAGACATGTGTGGGTGAACATGGTGGCCTTGGTGAGTCCTTTCTATGGCCCCAGCCCCACCTAGTGGTGGGGGGCCCCAGCAGGCTTGGCTCTGTGCTTGAGTGTTGTGAGGTTTGGGTTGGCTGGCTCCTAACAGATGCCACAGCTCCTGCCACACTAACAGCCCAGGCTTCTGGCAGAGGGAAGAGCCTTCCCACTGCTGAGACCCAGGGAATGAATGCGTGTGGTGGGAGCAGGGATGGGAGTAAAGCTGGGCAGCTGTGCTCCCTTGTCCTGCTGCCTCTGTGTGCTGATCCAGCTCTTGGTTTCAGAGGAGGAGCTGATCGCACCGAAACCCAGAACACCTGAACCCAGGGAGCAGGAGGTCAAGAGGGAGATGCTGGAGTTTGTGACCGTGACAACACTGGAGCAAACGTATGAGACACTGGATGGTGGGGAGGGAGTGGGAACAGGGCATGGGCCAGCCTGGTACTGGGGTGGGATGCCAGCAGGGCAGGGACAGCTGCAGGCATTGGGTACCAGCAGATCAAGCATGTCTGTGGGCAAGGATCTCTGGGTCCTGCTGTGCCTTGGGGGTGGCTGGAGCCTGGGGGGCCCTGACCTGTTGCTGCAGTGGCTGTCACTGTTCTCTCCTGCCAGGGAGGAGTCTGTAGCTGTCCCACAGGTCCCCTGCGTGCCCCCTGAGACTGTGGTGACCAGGGCAGAGGAGCCTGAGCAGGTGGGATCTGTGGAGACTGAAGCTGAGCAAGGCAGCCTGCTGCACGCACCCTCGGTGTCCCCACAGGAGGTGAGTGTGACACAGTTCTAGTATATTTCTTGTTGGGGGAATATCCCTCCTCTGTCAGCCCAGAGCCAAAACGTTGGGGGTGGAGGGGATGGGTTGATGGTACAGGGCTGCCAAGGCAGAATGCAGGAGTGCAGAGGGTTGAGCAGACCCAGCACCACCAGACATGACCTTATGCCCATTGGGACTCTTCCCTGCTTTTGCACAGCCCTCCAAGGAGTTCGATGAGGACTCCTTGATTCCCAGCAGCCCGGCCACCGAGACCTCAGACAACATCAGCCCCGTGGCCAGCCCCGTTCACACAGGGTAAGTCCCTGCCCAAGGCAGCACTGTGTGTGTGAGCTGGCTGCAGGGCACTGCTTGCCTATGCCTCTGCCCGCTGCAGGTTCCTGGTGAGCTTCATGGTGGATGCACGCGGCGGCTCCATGCGGGGCAGCCGGCACCACGGGCTGCGTGTGGTCATCCCACCCCGTGCCTGTGCTGCACCCACCCGCATCACTTGCCGCCTGGTGAAGCCTCAGAAGCTGCCTGCACCCCCACCATTGGCTGAGGAGGAGGGCCTGGCGAGCCGCATCATTGCACTGGGACCCGCTGGCGCCCAGTTCCTCAGGTGAGCATGGAAGGGAATGGGGCCATCCCTTGGGCTAGGGACAGATCTGGGCTCCTCTAGGGGCTGTTGCTGGCTGTCCGTGGGGATTCTGTGCAGGAGATGTCCTAGCTTTGGCCAGGCGCAGCATAATGCTGGGGTGGGCCTTTGCAGCATGGTGTAAGCATGCCTCCTCCCTTATCTGCAGCCCCGTCATCGTGGAGATTCCTCACTTTGCCTCCTACGGACGAGGGGACCGTGAGCTGGTGGTGTTACGCAGTGAGAATGGCTCTGTCTGGAAGGAACACCGCAACCGTTATGAGGAGAGTTACATGGACCAACTGCTCAATGGCATGGATGAGGGTGAGCGTGCCAGGCTGGGGGCTTGACACTCCAGCCAGAACTGCAGCTGTCCTGGGAATGGCCAGCACTGGGAGGTGGTGGTATGGAACCGAGTGTGGCATGGTTGGTGCAGCCAAAGAGGAGGTAGATGTCATGGGTTTGGTTTGTGGAGGAGCACTGATGACTGTGCTGCACTTGCAGAGCTGGAGAGCCAAGAGGAGCTGGAGAAGAAGAGGGTCTGCCGCATCATCACCACTGACTTTCCTCTCTACTTCGTGGTCATGTCCCGGATTTGCCAGGACTGTGACATGATTGGCCCCGAGGGAGGGTGCTTGAAAAGCACACTGGTGCCCATGGTGCAGGCCACCTTCCCAGACACCGCTGTCACCAAGAAAGTGAGGCTGGCTCTGCAGGTGAGGTGCTGAAGAGCCTGGTCTGGAGACCAGCAGGCAGGAAAAGGCAGCTTATTCAGCTGCACCCCAGCACTGCAGAGAGCTGGCCCCCATCACCCCACTTGTGCTGCCCACAGGCGCAGCCCGTGCCTGATGAGCTGGTGACCAAGCTGCTGGGGAACCAGGCAACCTTCAGCCCCATCGTCACAGTGGAGCCTCGCCGGAGGAAGTTCCACCGCCCCATTGGCCTCCGCATCCCTCTGCCCCCATCCTGGAAGGATAATCCCAGAGACAGTGGCGAGGGTGACACCACCAGCCTGCGCCTGCTCTGCTCTGTGATAGGTGAGGCCAGGTGCTTGAGTGGGCTGGTAACAGGATGAGCCGAGGTGGGATGCAGCTTTGGAAGCCAAGGATAGGTTGCACAGTCCAGCAGGGAGAGCAGATCCGCTGCAGCGAGAAAGCAATGTGCTTAATCCTGCTTTCTGCTGCTGCAGGAGGGACAGCACAAGCTCAGTGGGAAGACATCACAGGCACCACGAAGCTGGTCTATGAAAAGGAGTGCGCTAACTTTACCACCAATGTGTCTGCCAGGTGAGTCATGGCTGAGCATGTAATTGAATGGGATTCTTGTCCTGGGGAAGATCCCTGCCCTGGAGGGGTTTTCCACACTTGGAG